CAGCGGCGGTTTTTCAATTTGATGCTTTCAACCCGAATACGACAAGGTGCTCACGTTGGGTGAAACGGTTTGAGACAGCTCTGGTGATATTCAACAGCGATCAGGAAAAAAAGCGTCAATTCTTACTTCATTACATAGGTGCGGCAACATATGATGTCCTCTGCGATAAAATCCTCCCACGTACACCAGAAGACATTACGTATACGGAAATCGTTAACACATTGGAGGAGCATTATAACCCAAAACCCAACGAAATTTTGGAGAATTACAGATTCCACTTGCGGAAACAGGAAGGCGAGGAATCATGCATGGATTTTTTAATGGCGCTACAAAGGTTAGCGGTCACATGTAAATTCGGAACGTATTTAAATACGGCACTCCGCAACCAATTTGTTTTTGGATTAGCAAGCTCCAAGGTCCAAGGAAGGTTACTGGAAAAGAGAGAGCTCACACTGGATGAAGCCGTTAACATTGCAAAAGCCTACGAAGCAGCAGAAAAAGGCGGGATCGAAATCCGGAACTGCGCAAAGACAAATGAAACAAGCGTAGACAAAATACGAATACAAGGTAAACACAAACTGACACAGGACAAGAGACAAAGCAAAGACAATGATAAACAGGGCAAAATTGTCAAATGCTTCAGATGTGGCAGCTCTGCACATTTGGCAAACGCATGCACATATAAAGAAACAATGTGTCACTATTGCAAAAAGAAGGGGCACTTGAAGAAGATGTGTTTGCAGAAAAAGAAGCAAATTAACCAAATTTCTGATGAAAAGGAAACGTTACGGCAAAATACTGACTGTAAGGTAGAAGACTTATTCCAAATTAGTTGCTTAAACAACAAAGCTGAGCCAAGACGTAAAATACTTTGTTCTTTAGATGTGGAGGGTGAACTAATTTCTTTTGAAATTGATACAGGCTCGCCTGTAAGCATAATCAGTCTGGCTGACGCAAAGAAATATTTTTCGAAAGCTAAAGTGAAGGAGAGTGATACAAGCTTCTATAGCTATTGCAACACAAGGTTGGAATGTTTGGGATACATTGACGTCCAGGTACGTTGCGACGAAAGAAATACAAAAGCAAAACTATACATAGTGCGGTCGGATCGTAAACCATTGCTAGGCAGGGAGTGGCTTAGAGCTGTAAAGTTAAATTGGTCAAGAATTTTCCACGACCAACTCGACGCAGATGTTGTAGTAAAGAGTATTTCACAAAATAAACCGCAAGATCAGGTGAAAAGCATAAGAAATTTCCAAACTTGTTTTCGGATACAATCGGAACTATTGCTGGCCATCAAGTAAGGTTACACTTAAAACCAAACAGCAAACCATGTTTTATTAAATCAAGGCGAGTACCATTCCCACTTTGGGAGGCTGTAGAGGCAGAACTTGACAAGCAGGTGAGTGAAGGATTGTTGGAAAAAACGGATAAGAGCGAATGGGCTTCACCCATAGTCGTGGTACAAAAAGTGGAAGGCAAAGTGCGAATCTGTGGCGACTACAAGCTTACGTTGAATCCTGCACTACGCATAGATGAACACCCACTACCGACAATAGACGAACTCTTCAGGAATACGGCAGGAGGTACAAAGTTTACAAAGATTGACCTGTCAAAGGCGTATTTACAATTGCAAATTCATCCGGACGATCGGCACCTGCTAACATTGAGCACCCATCGAGGCTTATACCAACCTACAAGGATGATGTTCGGCATTGCTTGCGCTCCAGCGGTTTGGCAAAGGTTCATGGAGAAGTTGGTGGGAGACATTCCGGGAGTTACTGTGTTCCTCGATGACATCAAACTTACTGCACCCGACGATGCAACACACCTTGAACGATTGGAAGAAATCTTACGCCGTCTAGATAATCACAATATGAGGGTCAACCTTGGTAAGTCACAATTTTTAGCAGATCGTATTGAGTACTGCGGTTATCTCATAGATAAACAAGGCATCCACAAAATGAAACAAAAAGTGGAGGCTATTCAAAACATGAAAACGCCAACCAACAAAGACGAAGTCCGCTCTTGCTTGGGGTTGATTAACTACTACGGGAGATTTGTAAAAAACCTAAGTAGTATTCTATATCCGTTGAATAGATTGTTGCAGAATAAAGTTGAGTTCAATTGGGATGCCAAATGTGAAAATGCCTTACAGTCAATAAAAGACGTTATGCAATCGGACATTGTGCTGACCCACTATGATCCTAAATTACCAATTACACTAGCTGTGGACGCGAGCCCGACCGGGGTGGGTGCAGTGTTGAGCCATACATTTGCGGATGGCACGGAAAAGCCGATACAGTTTGCCTCCCAAACGTTGAACAGAACGCAACAAGCTTACAGTCACGTTGATAGAGAAGCTTATGCAATTATTTTTGGGGTGAAGAAATTTTACCAATACTTATTCGGCAGGAAATTCACTTTAATTACAGATAACAAAGCAGTCGCACAGATATTTTCGCCGCAAAAAGGGTTACCAACATGTTCCGCAACCAGGATGCAACATTACGCGATATTTCTACAATCTTTTACCTACGTAATAAAAACAAAAAAGGGGGCGGAGAACACCAACGCCGATGCAATGTCGAGGTTACCTTGCCCGGAAAAATACTATTGTATTGAAGAGGTGGATATTATTGAGTACGAAGCGATACAAAACAGGCCAGTGACCGTAGAGGAGCTAAGTACAAAAACAAAAGCAGATCGGGAAGTACACAAATTGGTCGAATGTCTTAAATATGGTCGCGAATGCGATGCAAAGGACCGATTTGGAGTAGAACAGGTGGAATTTACGCTACAGAAAGGCTGTCTTTTGCGTGGTATCAGGGTCTACATACCAAAACCCTTACGCAAGCGAGTACTACAGGAACTACATACAGCTCATTTCGGAATGTCGAAAATGAAAAGTCTTGGTCGAGCGTATTGTTGGTGGCACAACATGGATAGAGATATCGAAAACTTGGTATCGAATTGCAACGCATGCCAGTTGGTAAGAGCAGAACCGAAGAAGAATACACCAGTGCATTGTTGGGCAACACCTACAAAGGTGTTCGAAAGAGTCCATGCGGACTATGCAGGCCCAATATTTGGAAGGTACTTATTCGTACTTGTAGATGCGTTTAGCAAGTGGCCCGAAGTACATATTGTCCCGAATATGAATACTGAAACTACAATACAACGGTGCGAAGATATTTTTGCTACTTTCGGGTTGCCCAACGTTTTCGTGAGCGACCATGGAACGCAGTTTAATTCAAAGGCGCTCCAAAGTTTCTTGAAAAACAACGGCATCACACATAAACAAGGCGCACCGTACCACCCCGCGACTAATGGCCAAGCGGAAAGGGTTGTGCAAACGGTAAAGACCAAACTACGTTCAGCTAATTGCACTTCGAATAGTATGAATCGCGAGCTGGCAAACATTCTAATGGCTTATCATCGATCAATTCACCCTGCAACAGGAAAATCACCCGCGATGAATATGAATCCCAAGTAACAGTAGAAGCGACCAAGAACGCCCACCTAAGAAGCAATTCCTCGTAGGGGACAAAGTTGCAGTGCGAGATTATCTATCGAGCGCTAAGTGGCAGTTTGGAATAGTCAAAGAGGTACTGGGTAGTTTACACTACTACATTCGTTTAGATGACGGTAGAACGTGGAAGAGGCATGTGAACCAAATGAGAAAAGTAGGCGAGGGAGTGATCAATTCAAGGAAAATGCCAGAAGAGCCGGAAAAAGTGGATCAGAGGAAAGATGACCAGATAACGCTGTACGAGGCAACGACATCTCAGCCCTCAGCGAGCCTAGCCGATCGACCCATAGCCGACGAACCTACCATAGCCCGAGAGAAGAATGATTCTCCACAGCGTCAGACGACAACGGAAAGTGAGACGAATAATACAGATGACACCACTGTTCGAAGATCAACACGTAACCGGAGGGTACCGGAACGATATAAAGACTTTTCGACATAGATAAATTCATGAATTATTAACTGCTTAAAAATGTAAAATTTATTAATTCGTAACTTCACATTTAACATGTAACATCATACAAAATCAGCACTCTCTTATCTTAGAAAAATAAATGTATATATTGGATCATTTTATAGTGGGGGAGAGATGTTGTATCATTACTATGTATGCATAAGAACACACTCATATAAATATAGCATGTAACATAAACGAAAGAACATAATAAAACAGTTCGCAATTGGCAAGCAAAGTGATAGGTTGTAACAGTATGCCTCATTGTTTTTCACTGCAGTTGGTGTCCATATAAATGGCCTATACTTTATACTTTGTCTAGGCTTTAAATTGCATATAATTTTAAGCTAGGCTTAATTAACCTGTAAGAATTAAATAAATAAATAAATAAATATATTGGGGGGATACCAGTGGGCGTGGCTACACCCATTTTCCAAAAATTTATAATATTCTTATTTTTCGGCTAAAAATTATTTTAAATATCAATTTTGAGTGAATAATCTTCAGTAGTTTGTAATGCGATCAAAGCATACAATTTGCAACCCTACTGAATTACTACAAACTAGAGCTCTCGATTTTGTTCGCACATTTTCAAACAGCCCGGGTATATGAGCAGCGAGTACTCGCACACTTGTTCAATGCTCATTACTCGAAAATTTTCGGGCATGAGCTCGAGCAATTCAGGTTTTTTCGAGTAATTTGAGCAAAGTTTTTTTTTATTATATTGACATTTTTGGTAGCAACTTTTTAAATTTTTCAAATTATTGATATCTAATGCAAAGATTGTTACAATGGTATTTAATAATATAATTTATTTAACATGAATTAGAAAGCAGCTGCTGACAAATACAATTTACAAATTTTCTTTTGCTTATGAAATTGTTCAAAAACTCGAAAATTTTGAACAAACATTTGAGCAGTTGAGCAATGAACGAGTTTCGAGCGAGTATCGAGCTACTCGCATTGCTCGATACCCGGGTATCTAGAGCTCTACTACAAACTACCTTATATGAATACGCCCTAGGCTAATCTAGTACAATTAAGAACTAAGAATTTACGAATGCGACCCTGTCATATGTATGACAGCTGCTAGGCTTATATCAAAATGTGAAAAATATAAGGAGTGTTCGCTATGCAAAAAATTTGTACAAGTTGGTACCAATTGTTACCAAATCGTGTTCGTTTAGCCAAAAACCCAGTAAAAAATGCAAGGAGAGAGCACAATTTTGACATTTCATTTGGAGGGGAAGTTGCAAATTCGTGCTGGGAAAATTTTTGCCAGTAAGAATTTGCAAGCAGGATTGTGGCACACGGTTGCATTTTTGTCAACATTAATTTGAATCAACGAGTTCGTTAAATTTAAAAATGGACTATTTTGTTGCGATTTACTAATGAAAGAAGTATGTGAATATTCGTTTTTCAATTAATTTAATTAATTCCAAACATTTGAAAGGTACTGGGCTGAAAAAGCTGTATTAGTAATCGGAACGCACTCGACATTACTGTCGATATAGGAAATCCAACAGTGACTTCGACAATGAAATTGAAGCGTATGTTGAAGAAAGTCAGAATAAGAAGAAATATACGTATAGGTCCTGTTTTGGTTTCCACCTGAAATAATTAAAGAAATTTATTATGCTCGAAATGCAACCGTGGACGCCAGCTGGCAGTGAAGTTTGCTAATGTTTGCTAATTCCTGTTCGCGCAAAACTTAGTAAGTTTCTCTCTTTGGGAGAGTAAGGTACCTTGTTCTCTGAATTTTGTTACTGGCTAATTCTTACTGGCAGTTGCACAGCGAACACTCCTATATTGGCGGCATTCGACTCGAACACAAGTACTTTTATTAAATTAAATTCGACCAGCTAGCCACCAAGGCATCGGCTGCAGTCAGCAGCTTACAAGGTTCGATAACCTGACAGTTGTCTCTCTCGCACCGCTCCCTTAGCAGTGGCACCGTGTTGCTTCTTTGTAAATTTACATGGAAACAGTGTAGCTTTGGTGTGAAATAGAAGTATAAGTTTTTGTGCAATGTGTTTCTTTGTATATGCATATGAGGCATATTTAACTGATGAAAACATAAACTGTTTTTGAATTGGATGTTTACATCAATCTCATAGTAGTCTTATTTTGATTTTGAATCATTTTGCAGTTTTTATACAGCTAAATAGCACATAAATTACGCAATTCATCAGTATATCAGTATTACGTTCAACATTTCGTTTAAAATGCCCGATTTCCTGCAAATACATGAGAATTTACAAAAGGAATTTCACTACTAATTGCCTACTTTGCGTACTTTTCTACTACCATTTTCGCACCAAGAGATTTCATTCTTCGCCTTTCTCCGTCCTTCGTAAATGCAACCTTTTGTAAGGGAGTGTCAAACCGCAGCTGTCAATAATTATCTAACCCTGTATTATTGAAACATGGCCTGCACCCATGATTCAATTATTAAAGGTTTTGTAAGTAGCTTTTTTCTAAAATTTGGCACTCCCACCCACAGGGATGGTTTATGGAAGCAGGAGAAAAAGGGGAAGAATTGAATCACACTTCCTAAAATGGGAGCTAAATTCCATAAAAACGTGTGGATAATAGTGAATGGTGGTATTTTAAAACAAAAACGAATTTGATGTTATTATTTAATTTAAACAAGCTTATTTACATCGAATATAACCCCCGATTGTTATTAAAAATAAATATTTCTACGTATATACCAAACATGCGCATAACTCGAAAATGGATGGTCCACTTTCAGCCTTTTTTTGTTCTACATATTTGTTTGCCAGATGATGGATATGAAGAAGCTATTTGTTTGTGGAAAATATGCAATATTTATTAAACAAGAAAAACGGCAAATAAAAAAATTTGGAGCTTACGTTTCTTTCGCGGTTATGGCTCGATTGTTTCGAATATGGTAATTCGAATTCTTTGATGTCGCACTTTCAATGTTCTGGGGAAATTATACCACTGTCAGAATATTAACCATTCGCCGGGTTGCACGAAAAAGAAAATTTGAATGACTAAAAATATCAAAATATAAAAATATTCGCCATAAAAGGCGTTTGCATTGTTCATCTTTGCATTCTACTTTCAACTAATCGCTTTGAACAAAGTTGGTCGCCAGCCAACATTCTCCTCGTGCGTACACCTTTTAAGTGTGCGATTACATCGCGCCATTGACTAAACTGAGCTGTCGTGTGACGATTGGGCCTATGGATGCGGTTTGGCAATGTTATATTGCGTCAAAGTCTCATTCGGAGACACCAGGATTGTGTTGTGGAGGACAATACCTAAATACCTTCGTTGGCTCCACGAATATCGACAAATACATTTCGGCATTTAAGTGAATTTCGTCTCTTTAGCCTACATTGAATTTCTGTAGTCCAACGATTCTCACCCATTTTTTCTTGTTGGCGCCAGCGAATCAAGAACAAGCATTTTTTTTCAAATTTAAAAAGTACAAATTTCACTACTAACAATTTAAAAGTGTTCTTAAAACTTGCAAAGAAATATGGAAAAGAAATATCACTGCTTTTGTTTTTAGGAGTTTAGGGTCTAATCCAGAACGAATGAAAAAAATTACGTTTTTATGGTTTTATTGGCGAATTTCTAACTTAGCAGGTTTTAGTTTTTGTATTTTCGAAATTGAAGTGGATTTAGCAGGTTTTTTGTATGAATAAAATTGCTTCTATTTTATTTTTTGTGATTACGAGCTCAATTTAAATGTTAATTAAAATAGTATTCCATAGATAAAAACAATTATATATAAATATATAAAAAAATACAACAGATTTATTCTTCCGTTTATTGCAACAAAAATAGCCAGTTTATAAAACATATATTAGTAACTATACGTGAAGTATTCCTCTCTCAAATTAATAGTACAAAGATACATATAAGATAATTTAAGTAAGAGCTCAATAATGCCAGAAAATATGATACATATTATTCAATCATGAGGTAAATTGTTATAGTAGGCGTGGTAATCTTCAGCAAGTAATCGTTTGAAATACTGAAGATCTCATACTTTCTGCGAGCAACCGTACGCCTACTCTCGTATAAATTCGGAAGGTGAGAAAATTGCAAGGAAACAGCTACTGGGGATCCTCTTTGCGGTATTACTTCCCATTCGTTGGAGAATCTTAGTTTGAAATGTATGTCGCCACTTGGTGTATACGGTAGGGCTCGTATATCAGTTACTTTAGCAGCATCTTTGCCGCGACCGGGACGAATGCTATTAAAGAATTGAACTGTGTTAAAGCTTTTAAAGAACGTGTAACTAAGATAAGTTACGTCATATGGTTTTGGATTTTTTCTAGCTGATCTACATACTTCAATGTATTCTGCAGGAACATGGATATCTCTTTTCTTAAGTGCTCGTTCGATAGTGGAATGGATACAATCAGCTTCCATTTGGGTATGGCCTACTTCAAGAAACTTTTGCTCAATAATGATATTGTTATTTATAGCTGTGGATAACAAAGCATTAGCCATAATACTGTTTCGGTTT